GGGATGCTCGAAGTAAATAATATTTTGTTTTTTCTGCTTAATTCCTCTTGTCTGCCAACTTCAGGAACTGTGGATTCTGGGTAGGTGGGTCGCAAGGGAACTTTTCAAGGGAACTTTGAATTGTAGCGGTTTTACTGGACAGCGTGCGGCAAAGAAGGGCAACCTGTCCTAAGCTGCGAACAAATCACCACGATGCGTCAAGGCAGAGAGGGTCTGTGCTCAAGGCAGTAGTATCTTACATGAGCTGTAGTGAAAACTCCTCCTTAAAGGGAGTTATTTGAGGGATCATGTAGGGGACTACTGCAGGGGTCATTAAGGGGGATACTGGGAGTTTAGACTGTAGTTCACATGGGGATGTATGTATATGTATGTATTTAAACCCCATTATAATAGAGTAGTTTCCATTTTGTTCTCCATTATCCCTGTACAACCCCAATATGTGCCTAATATACCCTCTTATATAATAGTTTTCATTTGTATGAATTATGTAGGGGAAGAAGGTCACCGACAAGCACTACTGAAGGTGACCTGCTTCTGCAGAAGATCGCGCTGTGCTGGCAGGCCTCTTGGGTTAAGGCATGTGAGCTGTAGTCCAAACTCCTTGAAGGGGGCTCTCTGGGAGACTATACCGGGGATTAGCATCGGACTTTTTAAGGGGGATACCAGGAGTGTAGGCTATAGCTCATGTGAAGACTTGCATACTGTTTCAGCGTAGTTGTAAAGCATGATAGATGGGGATTGTCCTAAATTACTGTCAATACGGGGTCCTATATTTGGGCTCCTATTATAATACGGGGCCCTATATACATTTCCCCCATTTTGGGAACAGTAATTTAGAGAAACTTCCAGAACCCTAAACCCTAAACCCTAATAGATGTTTGACAGGCGGAAGTGATGTATCGCTGGTTCGACGTCAGAAAGTTTGAGATGGTCAAAGCGGCATTGGGCGAACAGTTGGCAGCTGTAAAGAACATGTTGCTCGGCTCACTATATAGTCCCCCTTAAGTACATTAGAATATGGGGTTTGCATTGGAGCTCACGGCATGGCGTGTGACAGGGAAGCAGTCCAATGTGGGACATTCAAACTTGCAGGATCGCAAAGCAAAACGACTTGATCAAGGCCTGGAACCAGCCTGACACAGCAAGAGTTGTAATCTGGGCTGCTGTCAAAAGAAGTTTTTAAACTTCTATGACAAGGAATTCCCTTATGTACTATACACCCATATGATAGTAACTTAAAATAGGTTCCTTAACAGCAGCCCAGTAATGCTCCTTCAAAGGGCATGCTTAAGCTCTGGACTCTTCCTGCAGATCGAGCCTTTCCGGGGTTACGAAGACAGCTTCAGCTACCGCGGCTACAGCTTCTGGCTCCGCAAGGCGACAAAGGGAAAAAGCTGCCTTCAGAGTTCTTTGAGACTCAGCAGATCTAGATCGGAGGGTGCCGCAGCTCTGTTTCAGAGTCCCGTGAAGCTTTGGCCAGATGTGGTAGTTTCCCAAAACAAAGGAACCCCAATATAGACCCTCAAATACTCTAGCCCTTATAATGGGGACCCCAAAAAAGGTACCCATAATTTTGGGAAACCCCCATGTATGCAGTGCAAGTCATGGATCCATAGCCTCTCTGGTGTCGTCAAGCAAGCATTCGTTCGCGCTAGCGAGCTGTTCAGTGCTGAATGCAGGGCTTTGCCAGCGTGTCGGGGCTGAAAGACGGAGTGTTCCAGAACGACCAGGCGCATTACGAACTGTTGCGACATGCTGGTTGACATGCTTTCTTTGGTACTCGGGAGATCTCACTCGCCAGTAGTTTAGAGCTGTGTAGCTGGATTGAGACAAGCTGGTTGGTTGTGAAGTTGGCGCGCCTCGTCCGCAGACATGTCCCACCAGTCTCAGTTCTCTTCAGCCACTGCTGCTTCCATCAAACTCCACCCGCGGGCCATGCTTTCACCTGCCGAAGAAGATGTGGTGAACAGGCTCGGAGTAAGACATCCACCAATTCCAGGTGGAGTGCTCCTTGCAGGTACCATGAGTAAGGAAGCAGTGGGAGAATTGAGTCCTTTGTGCAAATCCTGGCTCTTCCTAAATCCAGACACCGATGCCAACTTGCACAAAGACGTTATTGAAGCTGCTGGGGCAAGGCTCCAGGTGATCCTTGGCTGGCTTTTCGGGATTTGTTTTTAAAAAAAACACGCGCTGCATTTTGCCCAGTGAGGAAAGCAAAGCTGATTTTTGGGAGTGTTGAGAGTTGGTAGTGAGTCGTGCGGAACCGGTTTGACCAACTAATACGTCATGTTTGTGCTAGGGTAGCCAAGCAAGCTCAGGATTGCCTTCATGCCATCCTCCTTTGATCTGCCAGGTCGCTTGCACTCGTTCAGTTTTTTGTTTGTGCGTGTGTTTTTTTAATTACAAACATATGATAAAATGGCAAAACTCCTGGGATGAGATTCAGATTCTCGATTCCAGACAACGCACAGCACCTGACTCGACTGGATCTGGGTTCAGTCCGTAGAGAGGCACCTCATGGCATGAGCGTGCAAGAAGGAGCAAGAACTTTCACTGCTTTTTGTATGCATGCTCGTGTCCTCGTGTTCCAATGGCAACCTTGAAGTATCAGAGGTACAGTGGGAACTCCACAAGTTGCTCAGATCGACTTGAGCCTGTTGAGCCTGCCAGGTCGAGTGGATGAGGTCATCGAGGCTGTGAAGACACTTCCTAGGCCTCTTCTCATCCAGTGCAACAGCGCAGTGACACTGGGTTGCTGTTAAGGAACTTAAATTAGGTTACCATAATACGGAAACCCAATTGGTTACTGCATACCCATATCATGAAAACCCTGAACCCTAAACCCTATATACCCGTAATGTGGTAACCCCTAAACCCCTTAAACCCTAACACATAAACCACTAAACCTCTAAACTCTAAACCCTATATACCCATATTATGGTACCCCCAAACCCCAAACTCTGAACACCTAAGTCCAAAACCCTCAAACTTAAACCCTAAACCCCTAACCCCCTTAAGTTGCTGAACCACAACTGGAAACATTATTTTTACCATACACCCATATCATGGTAACCCTGAACCCTTAGGTAACCCTAAACCCATAAACCCTATATGAGCTACGGTCCATATTAGCCTTTTTAAAAGGGAACCCTTTAGAGTGGACATAGGGGTCCCTCTTGTAGTTTAGCATAGTCCCCAATATAGTACCTGATGAGGAACCCATGTCCATTAATTACCTGGGTAATATTGACCGTAGCGCATAAACCCCTATATACCCCTATAAATCCCGATATACCCCCATATAACCCTATATACCCCCATATAACCCTATACCCCCATATAACCCTATGTACCCCTACATAGCCCTACATACCCCTAAACCCTAAACCCTATATACCCGTACATTGTGAAAACCCTTAACAGCAACGCAGGAGAGCGAGCCTTGCAGTGCTTCTCTGGCTGGCGCGGGAGCGTGGCTACACTGGAGCTTCTTACTGGTGCTTAAGGTGGATATGGGAGGATATAGGGGGATGTAGTGGGATATGGGGGATATAAGGGGATATAGGGTTAAGGGGGTTCAGACGTTTAGGGCTTAGGACTTAGGGTTTGCCGTGATATAGCGCTGAAGCAGAGCTCGCAGTGAGGCCCCCTGGTCCCGAAATGCGCTGGCAGAGGAGAGCCAGGGTATGTACTTTATATGGCAACCAGTACTGGTTGCAAGGAGAACTCCTTCCGGTGCCGGGCCTCACGTGGGTGCTCCCGCCCTCGTGGCTGTGCCGGGGCTGGGTGTAGAGCTTTCGCCATAGAGGGCGAGGAGGCGCAGGCGCCGCCCACCCTTGTAGGTGGGCGGCCTCAGCCTTGAGTTTAGCCTTTAGGGATTTAGTGATTTAGGGCTTAGGGTTTAGGGTTCAGGGCGTAGGGTTTCGGGTTTGGGGTTTAGTGAGGGTTTAGGGCCAGGGTTCAGGGAGGTACAATTATAGGGGTATTTATCGGGATTGTATAGGGAGTATTGTGGAGATCCATTCCCCGACTCTCCCTTGAGCACCGGTAAGGCTTCGGCTGAGCTACTTGCACAAGACCTTGGTCTTGACATCTTGAAGAAGCCTGAGATTGTTGACTGGATGAAGACGTACTTGCCCCAACTAAATGCAGGGGAGAGGAAAGCAGATCCGCTGGTGCCCGCAAGCCCGGAAGTGCGTCAGCTCTATGACCCTTCCAGCAGCACGCTGACATACCTCATTACCTGCATGGACACAAATGAGGCTGTTCTGCTGGATCCAGTCATAGAGCAGAAGGCGCGGGACCTTGCAGTCATTGAGGAGCTTGGCGTCAAACTCAAGTATGTGGTCAACACCCACTGCCATGCTGATCACGTTACGTCGGGTGGTGTGATTCAGAAGGAGTGCCCAGATGTTCAGACCATAATCTCGGATGCCTCAGGAGCAAAAGCGAACATCCTCCTGAAGGACGGAGACAAGGTACAGTTTGGCAACCTGAGCCTGGATGTGCGATCCACACCCGGCCACACCGATGGCTGCATCTCTTTACTGCTGCAAGGCAGGCAGATTTCTAACAGTTCTCATCGTTCTCCACCACACAATAAATCCTTGGTTGGCGTATTTTGAACTAGCGGGGTCCAGGACAGGGATGTTATGTTGAATGGTGTTCTTCAGGTCGGAATGCCAGCTTCGTTTTCACCGGTGACACTGTACTCATCCGCGGCTGTGGCAGAACAGACTTTCAGCAGGGCTGTGCAGGACGCTTGTATGATAACGTTCACAGTCAGATCTTCTCTCTCCCGAGCCAGACGATTATCTGTCCAGCACATGACTACAAGGGCCGCAGCGTATCTACAGTGGAGGAGGAGCGGCTCTTTAACAGTCGCCTGACTAAGAACAAGGAGGAATTCCAAGACATCATGAGCAACCTGGGTTTGCCATACCCTGCCAAAATGGATGTTGCAGTCCCTGCGAACATGATGTGCGGCATCCAGGACTAGCGACACATCCGTGACAAGCAGGCTGTAAATGACTCGCATTCCTGCAGGATCTCAGTGGCAGCTGTCCACTCAAGTATTCCTATCAGGAGTTGTTTGATGTTTGCGCGCCTGATGTTCCGACGCACAGTCGGACACTAATCAGCACGCAGCTAAATGCCGGGCAGAGTCCAAAATTGTTCACGTGAACGAGCTACACAACATCTCTGCTGGAGTTAGTAGTAGGTGCAAGCGTCTGCCCAGTAAGTACTCTGGCTGGATTTAGATTCAGTTTCAGTTCCGGAGAGACCGCGTGGATTTACTTCTATGCCTGCTCTTCGGTTTTCCATGCCCTCCTGTGGCTCACAAGCAGGGCAGCGCCAGTCGAAACGAAAAGCTTCTGCGCTGCGTACCCTAAACCCATTATAGTCATTTCCATGTTATTTTCCATCATCCCAATATAACCCCCATTATTAATAACCCCTATAGAGTCCCTGCATGGCCCATTATAGTAGTTTCCATTTTCTTTTCCATTATCCCAAAGGGTTTGCAACAGGGGCACAAACACGGACAAGCCTGTATGAACTGATTCGGTGGCAGGGCTGGGAGGTGAGCTACAAGGCACAGCCCGTCCTTGTGCCTCCTGGGGTCCGTGAGAAGCTTAGCTCCTTGGCGCTGTCTTTGGATGTTTTTGAAGATCTCTGGCTCTCAGGAGTTATGGTTCAAGTGGATAACGAGCAGCTTATCATGGACTTGGAGAAGTCTCGTGATGGCCGGCTGCTCTGTTTCAGCTTCCGTGCACCACGAGCGTTGTTGAAGTTGGAGAGGAAGCAGGAAAGATAGTAGGCAACCAAGAGTGAGGGTACGCTTCTCACCTCTGTCATGTCACAGAGAGAGCATCCTGCTCCAATGAGTTATAGTCTACACTCCTGAATAGGGGGTTATATAGGGGCCTATATAGGGGAAGTCCTTTTGGGGTCATTACGGGGGATGCTAGGAGTTTAGACTACAGCTCAATGATTGCACAGTCCAGCAACAGCCCTTCCGGCCGCATGGCGGAGTAATGAGTGGAGATCTACCTATACCTTCTCATGCCCATCTGACTGGGAATCTGCCATACTTTTCCGGTGTTGTGTCGTGGAGGCATTTGCTGACCGTCCCTGTCCATTGCAGAAAGAATTGGTTGATCCGGCTACTAAACCGAGTTTCTAAAACGATGCTGGAAGTCCAGGCCATTGCTCCACTAAGATCCTGCATGACGCTAAAGTACCACATACCTTGGGAGTTGTGTGTACTAAGGATACAGAGGTCATGTAGGTTTTTTTGGTACGTATCCACAGTAGTGGCTGGCATCTCCAACAAAATGCCAAAAACAAATGGCTTTGAGTCTTATGACAGGAACAGCACCCAAGCTACCTCCATTGCGGGGGAATGTCGCCTTGATGATGCAGCACAGTTGATGTAGGAAAGGTGCGCCCTGTGTATAGGTCAAAAGTATACTGGGCCAGGCCTTTAGTGCACCCGAACGTACATGGCTGTGTTGCACGCATGCGGCGAGGCAATGCCGCCTCAAAATCTGAGAAAGAAAAGGTAAACTGCACAGAGACTTTCAAACAAGAGAAAGAAGAGGTAGACAGACAAAATTCCTGATGTGTCTGAACAGCTCTGAAGCAGCAGTGTCTACCGTAAAATAAGTTGTTAATGCACAGCAGCGAACAGCAGCGAGTCTCAGAGACTTCTGTCGGAGGCATGGAGGACCTTCGCACGGTGGCCATGGAATCTGGGTCGCTGTTGAGGAATCTAAATTAAGTCACATTACTTACAATATACCCACATTCTGGCATTTTCAGCCCTAAATCCCAAACCGTAAGCCCCATATAACCATATCATGGCAACTTAAGCCCTAGAGCCTAAACCTGGGTTTCCAAAAGAGCCGTTAAAAAACCACAACAAAACCCAATAGAACCATATTATGCTAAGCTACCTTAAGTTCCTTAACAGCAGCCCAGGAATATCAGCGCAGCCTGACGGAGAACTTGGATCAGTTCTACGTTGCAGGGGCCTCGAAGCCCTCTTGTTGCTCATAAGAAATATCAAGCATAGCAATGATAGTATTAGTAGGGTGTAGGGTGTAGGGAGAATAGATGATAATAGTTATAGTAGTAATAACAGTAATAGGGTTTAGGGTTTAGGGATAACAGTCATCAATAGTCATAGTATTAGCAATACTAGTAGTAAGAATAATAGTAGTAATAGCTTATCTCTAGTTCTTTGAATGTCTCCCGTCTCTTCTTGTCAGGTTGTTTCAGGACAATACCTGAAAAAGATGAACCGCACTGACGACATCGCGTCCTGGGATGGTTGGGAATTCTTCGTTCGTTCCAAGGAATGTAATTTGGAAGGTTGTGCGCCCTTGGTGTTTTTCAACCACGTTCTTGCGAGGAGTATGCCTTCGCTTGTGTACTCTTCCGAAGACAGTGCGCCTCTGAACAGCTATCAGTGCGACGTGTGGTTTTGTCCGAGTATGCGAGCAACGTCTAAGCATGGTGTCAGGTACATTCCGCCGCTCTTCAGCACTTGCCAGGACTGCACACAACACGCCCTTCTCAGATCCAATGGCAATGACGCATACAATTGTGTGGTGAATATGGCATGGACCTTGGATACTGCCCCCACTCAGTAGCAGTTGGATAATAATTTAGTAGGGTTATATATAGCCCTTAATAGGACCCCTAATATAAACTGTTACTGGCTGGGGGCAGTACCCAACATGT